TTGACACTATTTTCCTATTTAATGCTGTAAAGTTGCTTTGACACAATCTGTATTGTTAAAAGCGCTATATAAATAAAGGTGACTTGACTTGTTTGGTAGTGAAGTGTGTTTGTGCATCTCTCTTGCGGTGATGTTTTATGTAAGCGTGTCTGAGTGCTGTGTTTGAGCGACTGACCTCAGATAGTGTGCTGTTGAGCTGGAATATCTGTCCTTCTCCCTCCACCTGTCGCACACACAGCTTGCAGGAGAGCTCGAGTGTGGCGGCACTGAAGCGCTCCAGAGTGAAGGTGCAGTGCAGGTTCCTCTGAGAGCCACTCCACACCTGCTGGAACGCCAGCTCCTGCCACACACACACACACGGACACACACACAGACACACGGACACACACACAGACACACGGACACACAGACACTTTTATAAATATGATAAAACTAAAGACTTTTTGGAGATATGAAGGATGCAGTACTACTCTATAGGTACTCAAGATTAACATGAGATTGGGTGAAACTGTGTGTGTTTTGTCCCCTTTAACGACGACAGCGAACAAGGAGAATGTGAGCACTGTGTGCGCAGGCGCTTGCTGTTCTCAGCGGCGTCAAAGTAAAAGGCCGGTGCGCCGTCAAAATAAAAGTCACGCATCGGCCAAACAGAAAAACTTATCGGCCGATGCCGATATTCGAATCGACCGACCACCATATATCGGTCGACCACTACATATAATTAATTCGATTAAAAATTGTAATCAACTGACAGCCCTAATATATATTAATGACACTGATGCAACTTATCTATTACATTCAGGAAAAAAAATAAAAATACTGGTAAATAAAATGAAAACATTATAACAGCGTATGTTTTATAGTGTGCGTATTTTAGTGTGTGTGTGTGTGTGTGTGTGCGCGTGTTAGTGTGTGTGTGTGCGTGCGCGTGCGTGCGTGTGTGTGAGACTGACGTACCTGCTGCCCTGAATTCTGACAGAAGTGAGTGAAAAAGAAACCAGATCTGGCTTC